CTGTTTTTCAATTTACAGATTCAAAAAACTGAAGCTCAGAGCAGTGAAGTGATAGACTCAAGGTCATTCCACCAGTAAGGGACAAGACTTCACTTCTCATTGAGGTAGACCGATGACTTCTAAACATCTATCTCCAGCTCAGTTTTTTTCTCACAAGCCACAGGACCCATATCCAACCAATGAACTTAACATCAGCACTTTGCAGTCCCAAATGCAGTTAGACTCAGAGTTTCCAGGCAGAGCCCATCATATTCCTCCATAAGCCCATTCCTCTTTCAGTGGTTTTCTTTCCCAGTGAATGGTGCCACAATTGTTTCAGTTGCTCAAGCCAAAAACCTAGGCATCCTTCTGAACCCCCTACTTTTTCTCAACATGCACTTATGGTCCATCACCACATCCTGCAGATTCTGCCTTCGGAATACTTCTCAAATAGGCCCACTTCTCCGTGTCTCCCCCATAGATGCTATAGTCCAAGACTCCACCACCTTGTATTGCAATCATTTCCATGTATACATTCTGCCTTTTCCCTCCCAACCCCACCCCACTCCTTCTCCACACTGTAGCCAGAGTCATTAGGCTGTTCCTCTGCTTAAAATCATTTGTTGGCTTCCAAATGATGAAGATCTTAGATGAAGATAAGAATCCTTAGTGTGGCCTACAACGGCCAGTATGATCTGATCCCCTTGTGTCTCTCTAGCCACGTTCTTGCCTTCACCTTTTTGCTTTCATTGCTTGGGCTATTTTTTCATTTTATCCAAGGTACCCAGCTCTCTCCCTCCTAGAGCCTTTGTGCTGGATGTTCCATGTGTCTGGAATGCTTTTGCCCATTTGCTGTCCCTTGCTAATTTCTAACTCATTCTTCAGCTCACATATCACTTCCTCAGGGAAGCCTTCCCTGACCATCAGGTTTATACTGGGGGAATTGCTCCTTTATTGCTCCTAAATGTGAGTTTGTTTGTTTACTTGTTGTTGTCTGTTACATCCATTGCCTTGTAAGTGCTGGGACAGCTTCTCATTATTGCATCTCCTGGTGGTTGGCACAGGGCTTGGCACATGTTAGATGCTCAATAAATACGGGTTCAATGATGACTGAAAGCCAGGAGTCACACTCAGACCTGCTGACCCCACATTTTACGCACAACATTCCTCTCAGCCCCCAAACTAGCGGGCCCCAGTGCCTAGATCATTAAATCAGAGTACTGATTAATAAATGAATCACTTATTTACTAGTACTATCTAGTACATATTTACTAGTATAATCTGGGGATGGGAAGTGATATCTAATAGAGAATTCATTTGCCAAAGGAATCAGTGCTTTTAACTTGGAAGCTAAAGCTTGGAAATGAAATTCTGATCCACATGGCACATTTTAGCACTGTCAAAGGAAGTTTGTGATTTAAAATTGTTAACAGTCAAATATATAGAAAGCAATGCATTAGCATTCTTCACTGGTGCAACACTACTGTTCAAAGAAGATTACAGTAGAATTTATTCAACTTTCACTTTTTAAAATAATGAAAGCCAGGCATAGTTGGTGATGCCCATAATCCCAGCATTTTGAAAGGCTGAGGTGGGAGGATCACTGAAGTGCAGAAGTTCAAGACTAGCCTGGGCAACAAAGGGAGATCCCAATTTCTACAGAAAAATAAAAAAATTAGCTGAGTGTGGTGGCACATATCTGTAGTCCCAGCTACTCAGGAGGCTAAGGTGGGAGGATCATTTGAGCCCAGGAGGTGGAGGCTGCCCAGAAACACTGTTTCAAAAAAACAAACAAACAAACAAACAAAAAAAACTAACTAAATAAATGAAAACAAAATAAATAAAATAATGACAAATCATATCTCAGTAAACTCCCTATTGTAGGATACTCTGGATGGGAGTGAGGAAATGAGGCATTCCAGTTACAGGTTCTCAGCTTGGTAAAACTTATAAAAACATAAAAAATTAATTATAAACCTATGATGAACAAAATGTATCTTTTATTTAAATATTTAGAAGATAGTTTTCAGGGTCCTGATTAATAAATGAATCACTTAAGTGCTATCTAATAGATAATTCATTTTGAAAAGTGCTGGTTGACATTTCACTGAATATCATTAGAAAAAATTGGGTAGACACAGGCTAACATTTTTTTTTTTTTAATAAGATCTTGCCCTGTCACCCAGGCTGGAGTGAAGTGCCATGGTCATGGTTCACTGCAGTCTGGTCCTTCCACGCTCAAGAAATCTTTCCACCTCAGTCTTGCAGGCAGCTGGGACGACAGGCACTTACCACAGCACCTGGCTAATTTTTAAAATTTTGTAGAGACAGCGTCTCACTATGTTGCTCAGGCTGGTTTTGAACTCTTAGCCTCAAGCAATCCTCTTGTCTCAGTCTGCAGAGTAGTTGGGACTACAGATGTGTGCAATCACACCTGGCTAATGTTTTTTTTTTTATTTTTAATTTTTTTTTGTAGAGATGATGTCTCACTATGTTCCCTGGGCCTGTCTCAACTCTTGGCCTCAAGCAATCCTCCTGACACAGCCTCCCAAAGTGCTGGGATTACAGGCTTCAGCCACTGTGCCAGTTTAGGTTTTTTTGTTTTGTTTTGTTTTTTTTTTAACAATTCAGAACATTTAATAACTTAAGTGTATTGATTAATTGTAGAATAAAGTTTGTACTTGTGGATTTTCTTTTTTAGCATATGACCAAACATACATCTGATTAGTCTTTTTTTTTTTTTAGATGGAGCCTCACTCTGTTGCCCAGAGTGGAGTGCAATGGCACCATCTCAGCTCACTGCAACCTCCACCTCCCAAGTTCAAGAAATTATCCTGCCTCAGCCTCCCAAGTAGCTGGGATTACAGGCATGTGCCACGATGCCTGGCTAATTTTTGTAGTTTTGTAGAGTGGTTGTCTTACAGTCTGAAAAACAGAGTTGGTTTCATGGGTGTGTGACTAGTGCTGTCGTGTGGGGCCTGCATTTAGAAGAGATGAGCCCCATGATTGGTATAATGCTCTACTGTCACTGTTTTGAAATTCTTTATAAGTTCTGAACAAAGGGCTCTGCATTTTCATTCTGCTCTGGGCCTTACAAATTATTTAGCAGGTTCCTGCTAAAAAAAATCTCAGTGTTTTGAGAGCTTCTTTGTGTCATCCAGAAACAAAGTGTTTATTGCACTCATATTCTACACCTTGACAAGAGGAGAACTCTGAGGGTCCCTGGAATCAGAATTGTCAGTCACTAGGGGCGTCTATATACACTGGCCAATCAGGGATTTCAGACCAAAAAAACATAAGCTTCTACTCAATAAATGAGATTTCCAAATACAGTGAAACCTGGTTAACAACTTTGGTTAGTGAAGTGAAGCAATGCCAACAGACGGTTAATGTGGAACACATGGTGTAGATTCAGCTGTTATTTGAGAAAAGTCCTGGCCTTTACTAGAATACGGGGGATAGCTGGGCAAAGATAGGTACAACTAACTTTACTGAACAGTCTGGTCAGCCATACTAGAAATAGTTTTATGATTTTAAAAAAAGTCCTTCAATACTTTTCTACTAAGAAAAATGAAGAACTGGACCCCTAAGGGAAACTGCCTGCTTGTGAAAAATGTTACTCCAACTGGTGCATCCAGGATTGCAATTTTAATTGCAAGCAAGCAATTTGATGGTAGGGAAAAATTCTGTGATACTATGGCTTAAAAGCACATCCTGTGCTACTTTTATAGTGCAGAAGTTGAAAAAGGCTGTTCGTATCTGTAAGTTACCATTTAAAAAGTTATTATTATGATTATTATTATTTAGAAATAGGGTCTTACTTGGCCGGGCGCGGTGGCTCACGCCTGTAATCCTGGCACTTTGGGAGGCCGAGGTGGGTGGGTCGCCTGAGGTCAGGAGTTTGAGACCAGCCTGGGCAACAAGGTGAAACCCCAGCCATACTAAAAATGCAAAAAAAAACTAGCTGGGTGTGGTGGCAGGCACCTGTAATCTCAGCTACTCGGGAGGCTGAGGCAGGAGAATCTCTTGAACCCCAGAAGCGGAGGTTGCAGTGAACTGAGATTGCGCCATTGCACTCCAGCCTGGGTGACAAGAGTGAAACTTTGTCTCCAAGAGAAAAATAAAAAAAAGAAAGGAAAAGAAAAAGAAAGAAAGAAATAGGGTCTTACTCTGTCACCAGGCTGGAGTGCAGTGGCGCAACCATAGCTCACTGCAGCCTTGAAATCCTGGGCTCAAGCGCTCCTTCCACCGCAGCCTCCCAAGTAGCTTGACTATAAGTGGACACCACCATGTCTGGTTAATTTTTAAATTTTTTGTAGAGAGGTCCCATTGTGTTGCCCAGGCTGGTTTCAAAACTCCTGGTGTCAAGCAATCCTCCTGCCTTTGCCTCCCAAAGTGCTAGGATTACAGGCATGAACCACTGCACCCAGCCTATAAACTATCATTTCAAAATAATAATATTGAAGATGATAATAATTATCATCATTGTTATTTTGCATCAAAAGCAAATGATTCTAGAAGAATCGATTGATTACCTACCCTAATTAACCTAGATTAAAAATTAATACCCAGGTGAAATTTAAATTTTAGGCCGACAATTTTTCCTTGTGAGTTCAAAACTTATTTAAAATATAAAACTTTCAACTTTCTAGAGAAAGTTATACTCCTGAGACAAAAAGTAAGTAATAATACAGTTTCTAGAAATTCCTATTAGTAATAAAGGGAAAGCACTCAGTTGTAACAATAGCTTCTTCAAGAAGATAAATTTTGGTGTCAGACTTGGGTTCAGTCCTCAACTTTACTGTTTACTATGTGAGCCTGGGCAATTTCCTTGATCTTTCTAAGCCTCCGCTTCTGGATTTGAAATAGGGATAACAGCACTCAATGCAGATGTAAGGATCGAATTAGATAATAGATGTAGGTGTCCAGCACAGTGACCGGGACAGGATAAACATTCTACAAATGGAGCTATCTCACTGAGAGGATTTTTCCTCCAGGATTTTAATTTATTAAATAGTTACCTTATTGACAGGAATCATGTTTTTGACATTGTAGTAGAAGCCAAAATAAACCATGTTGAAAACTCCATGTCGTCCCAAAGTTGCAGTTAATCCTTTGTTGAGGCCCTGGAGTCCCCAGCCTTCCTTCTTAATGATTTGTCTTGCATAACCCATAGTGGATGGTTGCTGCAGAAGAGAGAAGCAAAGCCAGAAAGATCATTTTTGGGACTGTGGAATACAGTAAATTACCATATTAACTTCCCTTCAAGCCAGAATTATTAGGGACTTTTTCCCCCCAGCTATGAATAATCATGCCTAGATCTGTGTCTTTTAAAATCAGCAAACCCAAGAAGCAAACAAAATTGCATGCATAAAAACAGGCTTTAAAGAAAAGATTGTTGGCAAAGAACAAACCATTCTGATAGAATTAGTGAAACTGATGTTATAACTATCATCACTTTCAACATGTAAGTAATTATATCCAATTCTGAATTATTCACACTAATGAAGGAGATTAACCATATAGATAATTTGGTAATCCATAACTGCACATTATCCAAAAGGAATTTGTATTTGGCTCCTGAATCCAGTGTATTTACCTTTCTAATTATGTTTTTCTAAAGCTAATGTTACAGTCTTGATTCTATTGCCTCAAAGGTTGAAGCTGGCACTATGTTATAAATTGGCCATAGATAAATAGCTGTTGATTGTACACATCCTCAAGCAGATATGCAATCAGTGTGTGTATCACTGCTGTGATAAATTATACATAAATGGTGTTGGGAGTACTTGGTTACCACCTTGAAATTACTCCTTTCCAGTCCCCTGATTGATTATCCAAGGCTGAAATGTCCTGACTGCTAGAATCCAGTCTGGCTGACGAGCTCACCGCCGATTACCCTGAGATTTACAATTTGTTACAATACAATTACAATTCACATGGGTTTTAAAAAAATGTATGAGTGATTGTTTCTTTTTTTGAAGGTACTGTACAAAAGATATCTCTCTCATATTTTCACTGAATAATAGGGGAAACTGTTTTTTTTTTCCACCTATGAGGCACACACTGACATGACATTTGTTTGATATTTCACTGAAGCAGGTTGTTAGAGTGGTCGTGTCAGTCTGGCATACTTTCAGACTAAAAGTATTTTCTTATCATGTGCAATTAAGGCTACATCAGCAGAAGAGAATAGAACAAATCCCATCAAGGCTTTTCTTCCAGTCTGCATTTATAATAGCTATGTAATTAATGTGAAACATTTAAATGAGCTTGTTTAGATAGTAAATCCTATAGTTTTGGCTGATAAATGGTTTGAAGACTCTAGCTACACTCAACTTCATCTATTAATTTAAGGGAGCTAATTACAATCAATTACAATAAGCTTAAGAAAACTCTTCTTTGTAATATGAAAAAACCATGTGAGAATACATCTTAAAACAATAAGACATATCATACAGGAAAACCAAAAAATTTTCTGAAGGTTAAAGTTTACTTTCTGTTTGACAACATGAGATTGTTTTGTGTTTCAGCACATTGACTTTCATCCCCAAATCATTATTTTTGGGTTTTCAAAAGAGATAGGACAAGTTGAGCAGAAACTCGTTTTTGTTGTAAAGACCCTGGAAGTGCTGAGTAAACTGCCCAAGTACTGCTGTCTTGCTTCAAGAAAGGCAGTCTAGGGGTGGGGGAAGGAGAGGACAGCTTTCCTGGGGCTGGGAGGAACAGGACAGAGGTGGGGCTGCCTGATCAACACAGGTTCTCCCTGCACCCAGCCTAAACCTTTTCTCCATCCTCACTCCTCTGAGGTCCTGAGGGCATGAGGGAGGAGGAGCTCCGAGGCCCTCTAAGTTTTAGAGCAACAGAGAAACCAATGGCGCTAAAATAAAGTGCAAATAACAATGGCTTTCCCTAAAAAAATGGGTGTAAAGATGTTTCTATTGTTTAAAAGTGTTAGTATGCTAAGTCATTAGAATTAGGATGACTAAACTAAGTATTAATTTGGATAGCATCTTTCTCATCATCTTGAGAAGATTTCTCCTAGATCTTGGTGAGAGTTGACAAATATTCAAATGGCATTTGCTAATTGTCCGTTTCCTGATTTTCACTGACTTGGGTGCTGTGTGTGTTTAAGCAAACATAATGCATGGATTTTTTTTTTTTCTTCTGAGACGGAGTCTCACTCAGTCGCCCAGGCTGGAGTGCACTGGCGCGATCTCGGCTCACTGCAAGCTCCGTCTCCGGGGTTCACGCCATTCTCCTGCCTCAGCCTCCCAAGTAGCTGGGACTACCGGCGCCCGCTGCCACGCCCGGCTAATTTTTTGCATTTTTAGTAGAGACGGGGTTTCACCGTGTTAGCCAGGATGGTCTAGATTTCCGGACCTCGTGATCTGCCCGCCTCGGCTTCCCAAAGTGTTGGGATTACAGGCGGGAGCCACGGTGCCCGGCCATAATGCATGGATTTTAAACTCAAGTGCTTTGTTGAGTTTGAACTCTAGTTGTCAGTAATTAATTGAAGAGTAGCATAGTAATTGGAAATAGGAGCTCAGAGCTAGACAGTTCCAAGTTTGAGTCTCAGCAATACCACTTGTACTTTGGCAAGTATTTTATTCTCTCCGATTAATTCTCACTTTATTAATTTGTAAATAAGGATAATGATAGAATCTTCCTGAGGCTGGTGGCTTCTGCAGTGGCTCAAACCTGTAATCTCAGCATTTTGGGAGGCTGAGGCAGGAGGAGTGCTTGAGCCCATGAGTTCAGGACCAGCCTGAGCAACATAGTAAGACCCCAGTCACTACAAAAAATTAAAAAATTAGCCAGGCGCTATGGCAAGCCTGTGATCTCAGTTACTCAGGAGGCTGACTCAGGAGGCTGATGCGGGAGGATCACTTGAGGTCTGGAAGGTGAGGCCGCAGTGAACTGTTTATCCTGTCATTGCATGGTGACAGGCTCCAGCCTGGATGACAGAGTGAAAGTGAGACCCTATCTCAAAAAACAAACAACAACAACAACAACAAAACTTCCTCACAGGATTTTTGAGATTGTTGAAAGAAGTCAATGAACTAAGTCCATTGTAAACAACTTAGTCCATTCTAAGCATTCACTATACACTTAGCTGTTAACAATAATGGCAGTTATGCTGACAATCATAAAAATAGTTATAACAATAAAATGACAGGTAATTTCTTTGTTAGTTGAAGGCAGTGGCAACCAAAAGGTGGAGTCTGATTTGAGAGAGAGAAAGCTTCTTTATTTCTTCATTCCTTCTGGCTGTCCTTTCCTTTTCCAAGAGTCCCAGACCTTTGTGATAAAGTCCACCAGAAATGCATGCAGCATGCAAGACAACAGGTCTGCTTCCTCCGAGACTCAACCAAATTCAATGCTTGGGGTAGAGATCTTGTTCCAGGTATAGTGCCTCACCCAGGAGCTTTCCTCTCTGGAGCAGTAGATCCTATAAATTGGCCTCTTCCTTATCCCTCAAAGTGAGTACCCTGGCTAGGATCTCTGCATATGGGAGGAAAGGCTGGCAATGGAAAAGCACATGAATTGGGCTTCCCCCTCTACATGGCTTTCCAGCCTACAGAGCACATTCATATATGTGATCAGGTAGCTGGAACACAGGAAGTGCTCAACACCTTTAGCCATTATCATACATGCTCAGTACTTTATGGTGTCATTTAATCCTCTCATTAAGTGTGTGAGATATGTCTTATCATGACCCCTATTTGGAAGATAAGGAAATTAAGACTTAGAAGTTAAGTTACTCGCCCAAGATTACAGAGTAAATGGTAGCAACAGGTCTCCAACTGAGGTTCCTTGAACTCCAAATCTGTACTTTTACACTCTTGGTGGTTCTGCCATCCTAACATATCTGATTGCTTCTCTCAGCAACCTTGTAAGGTAGGCAGCTGGTATATCTCATTTTTCAGGTGAGGAAATCAAGGATTGTTAAGCAACATGCCTAAGATAAAATGCTGCTGATAAATGGCTTAAGCAGAACTCTGCATCTAATCCAATGTTGTTCTTTACACACTCATTCTTACTATACATAGGTAATAAGAGTTTCAGAGTTTGACAATCCAACTGATCTAAGTAACGATGAATAATAGTACAAATATATTTTTCTGGCAAATGGAGGCCTTGGGATAAATAAAACCAGAACTCAATTGCCTATAAAAATAAGAAGTAATAGTATGATAGTGTGTTTTCTTTCTTCATTCAGGGACATTGTTTCACACACGTAAGCAAATATTTAATTAGAAAGGCAAAACACGACTTCCACTAGGATGCTTAAATAGGAAAATACAGAATAATTTTGACTAGATCTCTGTAAACACATGGAATTTTACTAAACTTATTTGATTATGGGGTTTCCATTTAAAAACAAAATGGTAACTAATTAGCAGCATCAGCCAAATGATTCCAATACTATCTAACCCAGCAGATCACCCACTAGCTCAGTTTCCTTCTAATATTTAGATTCACTCCAATTTTCATATTTAGTTACCAATTGTGGGCCAAATTGCACTCTAACTTTCCTCGTTGTACTTTCATTGACTGCACCCAATCTGAAAAGCATGGAAGAATAAGTGGATTGGGATGAGACTTAAATATTTTTGCTTTAATTTTTACATGAAGAGATAGCCTGATGATTTTTATATTTACCTATGAGAGTATTCTATAATGGTTATGGGAAATGGAATCAAATTTCTGTTTAAAACGTTGTTAAAAGGTTTAATTAAAAAAGCAGATCCTTGGCTGGGCACAGTGGCTCATGCCTGTAATCCCAGCACTTTGGGAGGCCAAGGAGGGTGGATCACGAGGTCAGAAGTTCAAGACCAGCTGGCCAATATGGTGAAACCCTGTCTCTACTAATAATACAAAAATTAGCCAGTCATGGTGATGCAGGCCTGTAGTCCCAGCTACTTGGGAGGCTGAGGTAGAAGAATCCCTTGAACCCGGGAGGTGGAGGTTGCAGTGAGCAGAGATGGTGCCACTACACTCCAGTCTGGGCGACAGAGCGAGACTCCATCTCAAAAATAACAAATACATAATTAAATAAATAAGGAGATCCTAAGTGAAATAAGCCAAATACAGAAAGAAAAATATCATATGATCACTTATATATAGAATCCAAAACAAAAAAGGTCAAATATGCATGTAGATAGAATAAAACAGTGGTTAC